CATCCAGGTACTGACCAGGCTCACACCTCCTTAGCTTCAGTGGGCTGCCAGCTGTGAGTTGCAGGGTGATATGGCTGCTGGCAATACTATAATAAGTGCAATAATGATCCTTTATGTGTTTTACACTTGGACCACATTCCTGTATTATGCCACTTCATCTTTTTCAATTTGTCTGGGGTATAATAGTCTGTTTAAAATTTTGTATTAAAGCAGTTTGTTATATATAGCTCTAAATGGATAACTAACATTATGCCACGGAATATCCCAGTCTGTTGTCTGACCCTACACAGAGATCAGCTGTCCACTGAGATGCACACCTATCATAAGACTTATCTGACCTTGCATTAAGAAGGTTGTAAAATGTCTGAGCCTTTATTTGTATATTAGTCTGCAATAGTTTATTGCTGTAATTATTCAGTTCTTGTTTTAACTCACTTAACGGAAGGGTTTTAGACAGTAAACTTAAGTTTTGAAACATTCTATTGTTCACAGTGCCACACCTTTCCGCAGGTTACTCAATCACCCCTAAATCTGACGGGATCCCATCTTGTTTCTCAGTAACTTCTTTAAAAACTGTGTTTTGTCTTTATTTGCAGGTAAGGGGTTACCCAGAGCCTCAGGTGACCTGGTATAAGAATGGGAAGACGGTGATAGCTGGTGACCGCAATGTGATTGAGCAAAGTGCCCGGGGAACTTTCAGTTTGGTCATCCAAGGGGTTACGGAGGAAGACAGTGGGAAATATACCTGTGAAGCTGTGAATGACGGGGGATCCCGACAAGTAACTGTGGAACTTACAGTAGAAGGTAACCATCAGGGAAAAAAATGAGATTTCTCCACAGTATTGAAAAACAGCAATGACTATGTGTACTGTACATGCAGTACTGAAAATCAAACTAATCGACCACTGTTATAAGAATGTGGCGTGTAACGTGCAACCTTTGCACACACCATTGAGCAAACTTTTGAAAAAGTGCGCACCGAAACATGGCCCGATCAGAAAAAGTTGTACTACAGCCCCCGTTTATGCTGAAAAGACTTAAAAGACATGTAGCCACACTAAGAATGTGGGGTTTTGCGCATGTCAACAATTGCAGGGTTCATGTCATTAATGTCAGAGATTTCAGCAGTAAAAACAACCACAAATATCACTGTGCTTCCCAACAGAGAAGGTTATTTCAGGCAATACAAGTCTTATATTCACTACACTGATAAGGCTGAGGTGCGCACTCTCCATCAAATCATTTAGTGCTTTTCAGTTTCAACCTTTTAAAGGTGGAATTTAGGTAGAATTTGAACACAGAATATGAGAAAGACAGCTTAGATTGTTATAATGCAAATTGTACCCTGCTGCCAAAACCCTATGCAGTTGTGGTAAGTGGTCTCAGATTTTCTTCTAGATACGTGTTATTTCCTCTTTGTTTTCATGTTTCAAGATGTTTGTAGACCATTTTGTTACAGGAGAGTACTTTGAGGTACAGTAGGCTAATTTATTGTAATTATAGTTTGACTCCTTGTCAAAAGCACCATTTTACAAACCTGTAGAGTGTGGTGTTTGGACTGTTCTCCACTTGAGCACAAAGCTCATGTAAATGCTGTGTCTGATCAATTAATGAGACTGGCTGTGACATGGGAGTGCGTTTTCTTCTGCCCTCGCATATTTAATTACTGATGAGGCTAACTGCATTTCAATGGGGGCAATTCTCTCTTTCGGAGATGCATGTAAACTTTAAGCACCGAGAAGTGTGAAACTGTAGTGAGACACCCTTGGAGGTGTGTATAACGAATGATGTTCGATGTATTGATTTTGGCTTTATACTTAAATGACTTTTTTTCCACATTTGGATTGGCCTCTAGCAGCACAGGAAAGCTTAATCTTTCTGTAGGACCTTGTCAGAGGGCCCTAGATTTATTTATGCATCTGTGGTTAACACTGGCGTTAAAATTAAGAGTTTTGGCTAGATCTTACTTTGCAGAATCTGTCTATAGCATATTGTGAGAGAATACTAAATGTTGGAAAAATGCATGGGTTTATTTAAGTAGTTAATGATTCTTTTTTGGGGTAGATTCAAGGAGGAATGCTCAGTAGTGCATTTTAAAAGATTAAAAAAATTTGGTTGAGACACTTAAGCATGTATTGTTTTTTTTCCTCGTTATACAGTGCGAATTGAGTAGTATGGTAATAATTCAAAGTGTTCTTACAGAAAAAAAAAACACTTAAAATTGTTTAGCCGCATCAAATCGAATTATTTTTAATTTTTGGAATTTCAGTACTCCCTCTGTGCAAGTTCTAGGATCTATAATTCTAGGATGCACAGCATGTGCAGAGTTGCCAAGGTTTATTTGTCCTTGAGAGTGAGATTTAAAGCCTGAAAAAGTGAGACTCAAGGCCATCAAGTGAGACCTCTATTGATTTTATTGCTTTCTGGAAAATATTTGTTTCCCAGTGGGAGGTGGGGGTGGGTTTGGGGTTGGCCTTTGCTTTCAACATGTGATTGTGAGATGACATTTAAATCTGAAACCTGATGTGTCTGTTTGTCCTGTTAGACACATGAAAGCACTACTGGAAAGTTTTGTATATAAACTACCCGGTCACAGTGCCTAGGGCATAAATCCTTCTTTCATCTCCAGAATATTTTTTTTCACTCTGCAGTTCAGCTTTTACTTAAACTTTTAATTGTAAATTTAAGAAGTGCATCTACTGTACTTAATACACAAAAAAAAATGTTAATGGCTTTCCATGTTGTTTGATTTGGCATGCAGCTGGACAGATTTACAGGATCATAAACAATTATTTGAACATTTAAACATTACAAAATTACGAACAGAAACAGATGGAGTTCTGTCTACCTGCTTCAAGAGCAGATTGGAGTGGTCATGTCTCAATTGCTATTTCTGCTACTATTGCTTTAAAAGGGAGCATTAAATGTTTTTTTTAAAGATTATGCTGATACATCAATCCACAATTTTTTCTTTATTTCAGATACTTTATACATGTTTGAAAATGTAGATTTGTTTTGTAATCTAAGCGAACCACTCAATTTCAATAAATCTTTTATGGGCATATTGCTTTGTGGATCGTATCTGGTCTATTCTTTCTACTTTTTTCAGTTTTACCTGTTCGTTCAATATTGTGTGCTGCAATATGGATAAATACAGTATGTGACTTTAATTTTTTTTTTGTGGCCAGGTAATGGTGGGAGGAAATATAATTTACCATCTAGCAGCCGATCAACAGGGTAAGATATCTTACTTCTTAACTTGATTTGACACACATTTTTAAACTTTTGCTTTTGTTTAAATATTGCAGTTTTTGTGACAGTGTTGTTTAAAGAACAGTTTACTTATACTCTTTCATGTGGTTGTGCCAGTTCAGAAAATCTGAGTAGAATCAGGCCAAGAAATGTTTTTTATAACAGGCATTAAGTCTTCTACTATGCTTTTGAAAATAAAGTGTAAGCCAAATTCTTTCTTTTTTTTTCTCAAAAACTCAACGTTCAGAAAGAAACAGTGGTTGAACTAAAAATTGAAGTTGTTTACCATGTTCATTTTGTATATTCTTTAATGAAGTACTGTTTAGAGATACAGTAGGGGGAAATAATAGACCTTCCATGTAAATATGCTGAAGTCACATATTGTTAAACAGTTGCTTCTAGCCTGCAAAGAAGATTAGACAGTGATATTTAACCAGGGGTGAGCAATCTTGGTCCTGAACGGTTGATGAGGGTCTTTTGGTTTGCTAGGTCTCAACACCTGAAGACCTGAGAGATACTGTTAAATTCCAATTAGGCCATAACTCAGATACTTCAAGTCATTATTAATCCATCTGGACTGAAATCCTGTGGATAATCCAGTTCTCCAAGTACAGGATTCAGGATCTCTGTATTACTGCAAGAAATCTTTTAGCAGTCAAGCAGTTTATCCACTAGAGGGAGTGTTTTTTTTTTAATTTGTTTAAATAGAATATAGTGTTTGGAGGGAGGATCTATAGAATACTTAGTGGGGAAAAGCTACAAGACCGGTAAGAAGAAATTTTAGGGAAAAAAAAAATTGAGAATTTACCAGAGAATAAAGCTGATCTTATTCTAAATATATACTATTTGCTTTTTAGCTCTGTAAGGCCTTTGTATGCAGGAGACAATTGTGTGATTGATATATATATATACCTGTACTGTACATTCTCTTGTATGTCACCTACTGCTCATTAAACACATCCTGTCTTTAGACGGCTGTACCGGCAACAAGAATGATCCCTGAATCCTGGACAAAGTTGGACAAAGTGGTTATATCCATTGTCACCTCAAAACTAGACCTTAGTTTTTTTGTTTCAGATGTTTTATATTACAATTATTTGTCTTAAAACCATTACTGTCTTGACATCTTTTCATATTTGTTTTTTGTTTACATCTGAGCATGACCATTAGAAAATTAGAAATGGGACACCTTCTGCCTGACATACTGGAGTTTAACATCACTCTCACATAAGTGACCGTTCTAACTTTACTCCCTGGCTCATTTTTAACTAGTTTTTCCATTTCTGATTTTAGAGGAAAATTTTCTGTCCCACCAGTTGAATCTCGACCTAGTATTTGGGGAGAGAGTCCTCCAAAATTTGTGACAAAACCATCGCGACTGATCCTCAAGGCTGGACAAAGTGGCAAATTTTCTGCTAAAATAACTGGCCGTCCTCAGCCTCAGGTTATGTGGTTTAAGGTAATTAATATTCTTACAGGAAGTTACATTTGAAGCCTTGTTTTCTTTCTGTGTTTTGGTATGGAAAAGGAGTTGTTTTAAATAGTTTTAAAACTGTGGAGTACAACTGGTTTATTGCTTAGCAGATTCTTGAATATAGGCCCAGATTAAGTCAAAAGTCTGACCCACCCACAAATCGCAAATTACAATCCTGCTCCATAATACTGGCTTTTTGTCTGCCAAAAGGCATCTTGTTTCTACCAGATGAAAACCTGCCACTGAGTACTGGGTTTGTTGTTTTTGAAGTTTTTATTTAATCCAGGCATTGATTTGCGGAGTTTGTGAAATAGATTAAGTTCATATTAAACGGCTTAGAGTTAGAGGGTAAAAATCTAAAGCAAATGTAAGTATGGGAGTGCTGCTGCCATGTAATACAAAATTATTAAGCCTCAGAAGTTTTTTTTGTTATTACAAAAGGAATAGCCAAAATAACAGAGCAACAAAGTTGCTTATTAAACTTACCAAATTTACCATCTTATTAAATTTAAAATGACAATGTGTCTTACTTTTCACTTTAGGACGACATTGAGCTCCAGGAAAGTGATCATTTCAACATTTTTGAGAAATCAGGAATTCATTTCTTTGAGATCCGCAATTTACAGACCGAGGATGCTGGATTGTACACCTGCTCCGTGGTGAATACAGCCGGGAAAGCCACAGCATCAGCAGAGCTCATAGTTCAGAGTACGTTTTCCACCAACATAATTGTGGATTTTTCACTATTAATACTGAGAAAACATGATTCATGATTGAGTTTTGTTGTGTAAGTGTTGAAATTATTCCTGCACTCAAGTGTCACTGGAGATACAGAGTCATGGTAGAAGTTAAAAATAAAGATTGGACCTAATGTACTGTATATACAGTAGTAAGACAGTAGAATAGGGAGCTGCATCGATGTGCAAGCTGCAGGGGAACAAGTAGTACTTAATCCCATGCTATAAAGTTAAAAGAAAGATGAAAAACTCCATTTGGCTATGGAGCCTTTTCAGGTATTTGGATTAATACCCAAAGGGGGCTCCCCAGTCAAAATGTGATCTGTATAATTTCTCTTTACTCTTCAGCATGAATAAGCCTCTACATGTTCCTTTCTGATGTACAATATAACAAAATATTAATCATACAATTATTGTCTTGGGGAAACTAATAAACTAATACAAAAAGGTCGTTGATCAAGGGGATATAATGTTTCATTCTTACTTTAAATTCATTAATAAGGCTTGGGGGGTGTAATTGAGGGTGGAGGGTGTAATGTGAATAACATAGAAGAGAAACATCTATTTAATCCTGTTTTCCTTTTTAGGTTCAAGTACCAAATCAGAAATGTAAGTATACTGCAGGTTTGCCTTTCCGTTACCTTTCACACAACATTAATGTATGGCAAAACTATCTACAAATGACCCCAATGAGCTCTGCCAGTTTACTACCATACATTTTTAACAGCACTCCTCATCATGACAAGCATTGCACATGTACAGTATTCTACATTTATCTTTTATCTTTAGAGATGCAGTACTCCAAGAGCTCTTCATTGCTTATGCTAAATGTACACATTCAAGCTGCTTTGGTTATCCTTTCATCTAACTGTAGTCATATTTGGTTGTGAAAACTTAGTCTATTTCACAACTTTTCATATTCAAGAATTTTCAAAAAGCATTAAGAATATTATGTGGTTCGTTATGTATTGGCTTAAACCTGCTGTAATGAAGCTAAAGCTTTTTTTTTCTTTTTTAGGAGTCCTGTGAATCCAGTTACCACTGTTACAAAGACAGAGATGTCTGAAGTGAAGCACAAAGCAAGTAATGGTCTAATAAACGAACAGCAGTCCGCAAAGATGCTAGAAAAGGTGGAGCCAAAACACACCTACACTGCAGTGACAGTCACCAGTAGGGAGTCGAAAGCTGTGACTGAAAGCACTGCACCATCGGGGAAGGTAGAAGCAGAGCCCCAAAAGCCCCTGTCTGATCATGGAGCTGAAATAAAAAAGTCTTCAGTTCAGCCAAAGACGGCAAGTTCAGTAGCACCTCAGGAACTGAAGCCGACATTGGCCTGCGTCAGAGCTGGGCCCGAAGGCAGAAGGGCGGGGACAGGGCGACGAGCACAGCAGGGGGCCTCGGACAGCGGAGCAGCCCGCAAGATGACTGATGCCGAGCCCACTGCACCCGGGAAACAAAGAGAAACCAGAAAATCGGCAGAACAGCAAAAAATGGAAACCAGAGGAACTTCTCCCAAGTTTGAAATTCAGCCACAAAGCTCTGAAGCAGTGGAGGGCTCAGAGGTCATATTCAAATGCCAAGGTAACGGTTGAAGTTGACATTGATTCCAGTTAAGTCACTAACAGACAAGCATAGCCCATCATGCAGAGTGAATGCACTCACATGGGCCATGGATTCAGTTGTGTAATCCTTACTTTCAGTTCTTAAATGTGGGCTTCATTAGTAGTTCATTCACCCAGTGAGTGATGGATGGGCTCTAGTCAGTCAGGCCATGCAGTCCATCCAGCTAAAAGCCAGCCCAGTTTTCTTTTATCTACCACCCATAAGCATCCAGTGTCATCACTGAAACTTGCATCTGTCTTTCCATTGATTCTCTTGCTCTGCCATTGGTGGATGCCGAGGACTGATAGCGTAGAATAAAAGTTGAATGGCTCTGACTAGTGCACATTTCACTGCAGTCTTTGACTTTGCCCTCCCTGAAAGATGGTTCCTGTGATGCTCCTTGCCGATCAAAACGAAAAAAAAATGGGTGAAGTATTTTTAAAAGAAAATAATAATAGAAATAGATGTTTATTTCTGCATTGGTCAACGTTTGTCCACTGTAGTCTCTGCATACTCTAGGTCCAACATAAAAAATGGAGATGACAGAAATATTTCATGTTATGAACTCCAGAATATAGGAATCTTAAGGTACTTTAAAATCCTGGTATAAAATATTAGTTCATCTCATGCGTGGTGATTTTCCATCTTTTATTCCTGCCAGCATTAGTCTGTCCCATGACAAATTAACACCAGATTTTGAAGTATTCTCTGAAGCATTTAGCATAGGGGTGTAAAATCCATTTTTAGCATTCCTTGTAAATGATAACCATAAATAATGGTTAGGCTTTTCCAAAAAGAACAAAAAGACCTATCTCAGATCTTCAGGGAGATTTCTTCTGATTTATTCATACTGACAGATGGGTTACTAACTTACTGAAAATAAATAAGGATTAAAATAGTCAAAGTCTAACTACAGTATATCAATCCAAGATGCATTAAAATGAAAAAATACTACTTTTAAATTTGAAAAGCTAGATATTTCATTCTCTCTGTGTCCTCAAGGTACTGTATACAATTTGGAACAATATATGCTTACTGTACCTGTTGATTCATTATTCTCATTAAGAAAAGGTGGTATTATTGAGTTCTTTTCAGCCCTGTGCTACTTCATACAGTTTCAGGAAGTCCAAAACCTGATGTTAACTGGATTAAAGATGGCCTTTCCCTGAAAAGAGAAGCAGGCTTAAAAATACACGAGGAAAACAACATGCATTACCTCTGCTTTGACAAAGTCCAGAAAGAAGATTGTGGGATTTATAGCTGCACAGCAACAAACATCAGAGGGAAAGTGTCTATTACCTGGACGCTGAATGTGAAAAGTAAGTAGACAAAAATATCAATTTCATTATTGAGTATTAATTTAAACTTAATAATAAATAAAGTACATAATTATACAAGAAAGCATTTTTTTCATTATGACAGAACACATTTTATAACCAGAGATAGTGTACAGTAAATGTGTTTCAAAGTGGCACTTCTGTGATTTCAGTTGCAGCACCTCCTGATGTATTTAAAAAAGCAGACAAGACAAGCGTACAGTTTTCATCACTCTGCAATGAAAATAACAGCATATCTCGTGGCATTTTCTCTTGTCTATGAATTCTGTGTGACATCTTTTGAAAATTCAAATAGCTCAAAATAGAGGTTTGGTCATACAGTAGACTGAAAATAATCAGAATGTTTAGTTTGTATCCTCAAACCTGAATGTTTGAACTTGCAGCTAAAGATTTAAGTAATGATTCCAAATCTGTTGGCAGGGTTGGCTCCAGGGGGTTCAGTTCTGCGTGTGGGATGTGTCACGCCTTCTGCAGCCAGAGGGCGCCTCTACTCTGTCCTGTCCCTAGTTTCCTGTGCTTTGCTCTCCTTCCGGTGTCTCTCTCCCTGGGGCTGTATATTTCCGGGTCTCTTATTCTCCTGCGCTCAGCATTGACGTTCGGATGTCCTGAGACAGCATCCAGGTCGCCCCACGTCCGCTGCCTGAGGGCATAGGTTTCTATATGACTACTGAACTGCTGAGCCCAGCCTAACCCCCCGTTCTGCCGCTAAGCATATGGGTCCTTTTCCGCTTTCCTGCCTCTCCACTGTTTGTCCCTTCCGACATCCGTGACAGGATGCTATCCATGGGCTGTTTGTACATTACATTCTCCCAATATTCGTGTAAATTACCTTCGGGTTCTCCAGAAGTTGGTTTTGGAGAAACTGGCCTTGGTGTAAGGGTGTGTGTTTGTGTGTCTGCCCTGTGATGGCCTGCCATCCCAGCCAAGGTGTATCCTGCCTTGCACCCATTGCTTGCTGGGATAGGCTCTGGCTCCCCCATGACCCTGTATTTGATAAAGCAGTTAGAAAATGACAGGATGGATTCCATATTTTTAAAGTAAGGTGGCAAACCTTGGTATGAAAAAATAAGAATTAGTTTGTATGTGGATTACATTGTTCTGAGAGTCTGGACTTCAGCTTTACTTGCCAGCAGGGAGCAATCTAACATCAGGTTTTAAGACTTTTTAGTGAGAAAATATGAAAGCCTCCCACACTTATTCCAATTTATCTATTACCGTTAAAAATGGATGGGAAGTTCTAGTTTCAATATGATGTAGTTTTTTCAATTTCAACCTGGCACACATCTTTAATTTACAGGTAAAATAGTTCAGATTTGTCCAATATTGAACTACTACAGATATGGTTTCTTTATCATATACTGTATTCAGTGGTTCACAATAGCTTTGAATTGTTGAAAGATGAATTAATAAGATTTCTACATGGGGTGCAAGAAACTTTAAAGAACATAAAATCTCTAAATGCAGCAAACAGGAAGACATTTTTTATCTTTAGTTGCAAATAGACAACTCATACAGTATGAGGATCTCAACCTGTCATTTCTTGAAAGAAGCCAGGGAACGGGTTAGGTAACATGTTCCAGACTTTCACAACCATTTATCTAAAAAAGACCCTCAGTCTCAGGTTTTAAGGCACTTGTCTGTAATTTTCACTTGTGTCCTCTGGTTCCTGATTCACTGTTGGCTCTGAAGACCTCCATTGAGGTTGATTGTGACAGTGCCTTTGAGGATTTTTATTTCCTGAATCAGGTCTCTTTGTAGTCCTCACTGTTCAAGACTAAAATAATTTGATTGAGCTTTTTTAACCGTTTTATGGTTTGCCTTTGAGCCCAGTGATGAATATAACCATTGTTATCTATATCTTTTTTATAATACTGATTCCAGAGCAGGACATCCTTTTTGTAGTTGTGTACGTGTTGCATATTTTACATACATCTGCCCTTGTTAAAATGATATTTTAAATGACAGTAACTATAATTGTGAGAGAAGGCTATTTGGTGCTTCAAGCATGTGTGGTCGTAGGCAAACAGTGGTGAAAAAGAATGCAAACCATCTATTTTCCAGAAATACTCTAAATACTGAATGTATCTGGATGTCTGATTACTAAAAAGAGGTGGGCTATGATGAAAAATGAAATTCGGGAAATCTCATCAAACTAAAGCCAAATATTTCTACACAGAGCACTCCTCTGTTTCAGGAGTTTACATTTATGATAAAAGGCACTTGCGTTTAGAAGGCAACTGTGTGATTCAGTGAAAAAAAATTAATAACATTGTTTGAAGGGTATTATTAATCATATAAATTACTACATGCTCTACTTACTGGAAAATGAGTATCTTTACAAACAACTTTTGCTATTTTTTAATAGCACGAGCCCTATAGTACTGAGGGGTATTTTTAATTTCTGTAAAGATTTTATGCTTGTACTTTTTGCAAAGTCAAGCAAAACCTCTAAGTATGTTGCCAGCCTTGGAAGGCCAGCAAAAAGCCCTAACAGTGGTTGCATTAAAAAAGCAACAACAACAAAAAAAGATTGTTGCCAGACTTCAATCTGCCATGACACAAAGTACTTTCTTTTAAACTGGATGTGCTTCATGGTCTTATTTGCTTGCTTAAGGATAAAACAACAGGGTGTTTACAAAATTGCTGTGGGGATTGCATTAAATTGGAAAATAACATGAATAGTGGATTGGCAATATTTTATCTCAAATGTTTGTCCTTAAAAGGAGAACAGAGCAGTTTCAACAAAACCCAAGATGGGCATTTGAGATAGTGTTGCCTTGTGGACAACAGGGCAGAAAGGTCTGTGGGCATAATTCCAGCACTAGGAATTAGCCAACAGATGTCATGACGTGGAGAGCCTTCAGTATGGAGCTTGAACTTTTCTCCTACAGTACTCTGGTATGCTCCCACTTTACAAACCCATGCAGGCTAGGTTAATTGGTTTTTAAATTGTCTGTTTGTCTGTACAGTTTGTGTACACCCACAGTGAAACTGGCATTATGTCTAGCTTGGCCCCTCTTGTTAATCACTATTCTCATGTTGTAGTCTCACCTACTGTATATTTCTGACTCAGGGAACAAATGTTCTTGTTTGCAAATGTTTTTGTAGAATGTTTACTGTGCTGCCATTATTTGTACAGTATGGAAAGAGTGAAGTATGCAGTATGCAGAGTGTAGCAAAAAAAAGGCACAGTGAACAGTGTTTAGTTCATTTCAGAGAAGGTGCATTCTGGTTTGCACTAAACAAAGGTATGCCACAAAGCAAGAAAAAAAGGGAAAAAAAACAATTGCAAAAACAAACAAAAGACAATAACAGCAGCCTTCATCAAACTGCCTCTGCAGCAGGCAATGAATTGTGTTAGCTCTTTCACAGACCATACTGAATAGGACTCAACATAGTTCCCTTCTTGATCTTCTGTTGTCTAGCAGGACATATGTCTGCAATTTGAGTGTGATGTGCTGGCAGCTAAAATCACATGCAAGGTGTTCGTTTTAATTGCTAGACGTGCAGTGGAGTACTGTATTCTAAGGTGTGCAGTACAGATCATAATGGGAGAAAGAGGGTAAATATCAGTATGTTGCTATTTAAGTGTGATGAATGACTATGTATTTTTGCCACTGTGCACTGAATATCTTGTTGGATATATTTTGTTAAAGAAAAATATTTCTTGTATCTTTCAAATAGTTTGAAGAGTTTTATGAAAGACAGTTTGTATACCGTATGTACAGTATATATTAATATTGAAAGGAGTTATCTTGATGTTGAGAAATTTCTGTGAAGAGTTGTTGTTCTTTGTTTTAAAATCTTAGCTCCAGAAGATGAGGGAAAAGCACCATTTTTCACCAGTGCTCTGAAAGGGTGCTCTGTGAGTGAGGGACAGGATTTTGTGTTGCAGTGCACTGTAGAGGGAAAACCCCTGCCTCAGATTTCTTGGCTTTTAAATGGTAAGAAAAGCTGTATAACTTTCCTTATATACCCTGTTGCTGCATGAGCTGGATTTTACTTTCTGTTCTTCACTCTCTCACCTGTAGGCTGTGCCGATAGTCCTAATCTTCTACATCTTAACGTTTCCTAATCCTTTAGCACAGTGCAGTGCTAAACCCAGAAAAGCCAGGGGAGACCTGTTAGTGTTAGTTCAACAGGTGTGCAACAGAAATGCAAATTCTCACATAAAACTAAAATCAATATGGACTGGTCAATATAAAAAGTCACAACAGACAAGCAAACTAAAAGAGATATAAATTATGGCATTTGTTGTTTTTCTTTAGAAGGAAACCCACTAATTTAGCACAAAACACATTTTAACACATTGAGAAATTTGTATAAAGATTGTTTTTTTTTGCTTCAATATAGAATATTCATATATTACACATATATGAGGGGAATTATTACTTCAAAGCAATGTTCAGATTTTAGGATTTACAGTGTAACTGCTACTGTTCTTTCATCCTGTGTGACAGCTTCTAGAATGCTATCGTTTTAGTCTGACAACTGTTGAATACTTACATTTGTAGTATGTCTATCAAAAAACAAATCTGTGATCTTATTCTCTTTTGTATAGAGATGACACAAGGTAGTCCAGCTAGGATATCCTGGTATCAAGTCAGTGTTTGAGATGACAAATTCCTGGCTCAGCATATCTCCGGTTAGGATTCAGACATAACATATGTCTTGCATATGACAATACTTAATGGGAGACTACTTTGGAATCAAATAAAACAATTAAATCCTAAAGCCTAGCTGCAGGTTAAATAACAGAAAATTAATACAGACTGCATGATTCTGCTTAAAACTCAAAAAAAGTCAAGCTTGGAATGTTTTTGGAGAGTTTGGGATCAAAAATAGAAGGAGCTGTGTCTTTAAATGGAACTTAAAGACATAGCAGGTTAATCTGATTTTAAAACGAAACACTTTCATTTCTACTTAGTTAAGATCTTATTCCTCAGTGGAGGTTTTTCATTCTAATTCAAAACAGAGCAGTGCAAGAAATGTTCTGAAGTATTCTTGCTGTTGATTTTTCACAGCTTAGTAACAGTGAAGTGAAAATCTAAAACTTGACATAAAAAGGATTCTATGTGTGTGATGTAGAACTTGCAATAGAATTAGGATTTTTTTTACAGTAACAACAGTAATGCATTTTTATTTTGAAAATTAAAAAAAGGTTTTTAATACACCATTACTTTAATTTTTAGAAAGCTATTTTATTTAAAGTTAACACAAAAAGTATTTAGAAATAATGTTTGAAAAAAAGGAAAAGAGTAGTCTCTTATATATAAATTCTGAATTTTTATATTCAAATCACCTGTAAAAACAAACATACAGGGCTCCTTAAAATATTTACACGTACTGTAATGCCTTTATATATTTTCTGAATATTCCTGCAATCGTAATAAATATTAAAAGGCAATCCTCATTTTTGTTGGGTTTTGTAATCATAACAACAGACTAAATCCAAATTAAAAATTTGGCTTTTAAACGGTTTCATTGTTGTTATAACATTCTGCATTCATTTGTATTTTCATTGATAGGATCTAATATACTGTATTTCTTTTCTGGGAGGATTTTATTTACAACAGTTTGCCAAGTGTGAGCTACACTATGATTCTGGGTGTATCAAGCAGTACATTGGTGAAATATTTTAAGATTGCTGCAGCTAATTTATTTCATGAAAGAAGACAGGGCTGAGCAACCCCTGCTAAGCACAATAGAGATATCTAACCCTTTCCGACGACTGGAAAATATAGCTGGAGCTATTAAACAAATATGAGGCCTAGAACCATATAAAGGAAAAACATGCATTGCTCTCTCTGAAACTTTACACCAGCCAGACATGGCATATGTTTGCACTCCAAAAGCAGACATTTGAAACTGTTACTGACTCATGCAGACAGATTATGAAATACCTACCAGTAGAAAAAAAACAGTCCCCTGGAATTAAAGCCCATGCCTTTCTTAGGAAAGGGTCACCCTGCAAAAGATAATGCAGATGATTTATAATTAGTATTTACACTGGATCGTGAGCCATCACAACCTGCTGAAGTCAATTTGACTTTCTATTGTGTCTAACTCGAGAGCTTCAATTCATTTTCATCTGATAAGGAAACCTGTTTTTATTGGATCCTATCAGCCAGCTGAATCCTACTGCCCACTCTGTATTTCCCTTACAAGGCTTTGTTAATGGGGTTTCGTATTTTATGGCTTGCTTAATGGATAGTATCAAAGGTATTTCTTGAACCATTAAAAAAAATCTGCAGTTTTTTTAAAATTTCTTTCACTTGTGGAATTTGTCCCAAGTCTTGTTTTTACACTTTTGATCGCTAAAAATAATCATTCCAGGTCCAAGAGTTTGCAAGCTCCTTCCCAATATATTTTTTTTAGAAAAAGAAAACATTCTATTAACTAGAAAAGTTGCTTACCATGAACTTTTCAAAGATTGTTGTGTTGACCTGAATCACAGATCTGACCTTAGATAATAGCAATTTAATTTTTTGTCCTGTTGGGAAGTTCTAGTTATAGATTACCACTGACATTACTGTATTTGACCACTGCTGAATCTCTAGTCAGTCATCAGTGCTCTCTAACTTTAAAATTCCATCTGTCCTTTCCACCTTAGAATCCTATAGTCTCGCTTACATACAAAATCTAGAGAACAAAAACTCTCCAAAGCGAAATACACATTTCATAGTGGAGGTGGCGAACAAAAGAGCACTAAATAGAGCAGAAGACAGAAATATTGTTTTTTTGCACAAATCTGGCATGACTATATTATTAAATTATAATAATATAGTTGGATTTGTATTAAGTATTATATAATTAAAATGAACAGTTAATGCCCAAAAGAGAGGTTTTTATTAAATTGGTTAATTAACTTGCTTTGCACATCAATTGCACAGCATGAATATATTCAGATGTGTTGTTTACGAAGATCCTTTATGCAATGAAACTGTAATGATACATTATTTTGAGTAAAAGTTATATTTTAGAAACTTGCATTCCAGACAGTGATAATTCTATACTTCTTATTTCCTGTGTTTTTTATTTCTTTAAAACATTAGATAAAACCATCCAATATGCACATTCCTCTTTTGAAAATGGTGTGGCCAAATTAACGGTTCAAGATGCCCTCCCAGAGGATGATGGAATGTACTCTTGTGTCGCTGAGAACAGCTATGGAAGAGCCGTCTGCAGTGCTAAAGTGTTCATAAAAGGTGGGCTGTGTATTTATTCTGTTCTGTCTCTTCTCCATGTTCATTTAACGTTCAGTTCCAATGTTAAAATATCCTAAAATAAGAAAAATGAGTATGCCGTACGTGGTAACTGAAATAAAATATTTTATTTATATTTCTGTGCAAAGTGTGATTTGAGATCAAATTGCAGTTAATTGCATACAGATATACATACACAATGCTTAGAAAGTAAGTCAAGTTAATGACTATCTTGAAAGCTGTACCCTGTTAACTGTGCAACTTGGGGAAGGGGCACTATGTTCCCAGCTCTTGCACACTGACAGTATCAAAGCTCCCCACCTTTCTGTTGTGCTGCTGATTTTGGACTGTTGTAGACACTGATGGTCTACAACTGCACACACTGTTGTAGACACCGATGGTGTTACTCTCTGGTGTGTAAATGGTCACTGTTCACAGTGTACTGTTGGCAGACACCCTGCAGTTAGGTAGAACAGTTATTAGTGTGGGAAAGCCATTGTAAATTATTTTTAAAAGAGCCATGTATGTTCTTATAAGGGACTTAATTGAAGTTGTCCATTACCTCAATTTCAATTACCATCTTGGGTTCTATAGATGTTTATTTTTTGAGACCGACAGATTATTGGACTTTGCTGAATGACATTGACGCCAAAGGTTTGAAGGCTCTTGGCTGCTGCAGGTGACTTCATACTGGCCCGCAGGATTGACAGGATTCTAGATGTCCCATGGCTGTTGTAACAGTGCAGCAGTGAGCACCAGTAAAAAGTCCCCTAACGGAGGGACAGAAGCACAGAAGGTGTGAGGTTAGCAGGGACCAAGAATAACACAAAAAGGGATGAATAATGAAACAAAAGGGCAGAAGGAAAGGTGTACTGCTGTGCATTGCGACCTCCAGGCTGGGCTTACCCTATTTAACAGCGTCCAGCCTGGCAAAAAGAAGAACTGCTAGCACAGCGGGGACCTGTCACGGATGTCCAAAGGGACTTACTGTGGAGAGGCAGGAGAGCGGAAAAAGACCCTATGCTTAGCGGCGAGACGGGAAAAAGGCCCGGGGTTGTAGTGCAAAGAGTTCAGGAAATGTCGTATAGAAACCTATGCCCTCAGGTAGCGGACGTGAGGCGACCTGGTGCTAGGCGGGTCTCAGGATATCCGAACGTCAATGCTGAGCCAGGGCAGAGTGGAAGACCCGGAAATATATAGCCCAAGAGAAAGGGAGAGACCGGAAGGACAGCAGGCAGGAAACTAGGGACAGGACAGAGAAGGAGCGCCCTCTGGCTGCAGAGGGCGTGACAGGACCAGACTGGACTGACCCTATTTAGCGGGGGTCCGGTCTGGTAAAGCCGGGTGCGTAAGGCAAATACAAAATAAAACTCTAGTGTTTGAAACAGGTGTGCCTGCCCCAGTGAAAATACGTGACGGGGCAGGCGAAACGAAAAAGAACGCCTTATGTGCGTGCAATCCCCTCTGGGACTGTCGGTGTAAACTCCCCCCCC